AAGGCATAATATAGAACACATTGTGATAAGAATTACATCCATCACTTCATTAATAGCTGATAAGTTATATTTTCGGACAGAAAAACAAGTACATTTATTCTCTTTATGCATATGGATACGATAAAATATAGATAAGACGGTCTATCCATTTTAAATATAGAGAAAAGATAGTTTCACCCAACGCGTTAACTAACTTAAATGAAAATGACTAAAATAAATACTTGGGCACATTGGAGAGCCATTTTACGATTTGGCAGAAAAATGTGAATGAAAATTGAACATAAAAGAGATCCGTTTCCTGAGTTTGAAAGAACGTTGCTATCTATATAGAAATCTTCAATATTCATGCTGTTTATACATATGGATATGATAAACAGCAGATTACGATTTTCATTCGGATAAATCTTAGAAAAACACCATTAGTTTCAATTTTTTGCAGTAATTAAGAATTTGAACTCAAAAATCATCATGGTGAAAATATAAATTTGAAAATTGTTAAATTTTAAAGCTAATTTTGTGACCTAGATATGATTTCAAAAATGTTGAGAACTATACTAGCGAATAGAAAAGCGAGTTCTCTAGAAAAATAGCTCATCTTTAGCGGCATATTTCGCTCATCGCATAGAGGACACCTCAAACTATCAATCGATTGATGTGCAAATCAGAGCCTCGGTAAGTAGTTCTGAGACAGAAAAAATATAATGAAGCCACCGGCAAAGACGAGCAAACAAAAGGTGTAATTTCTAACCGCTTGTGATTTCAATCTTCTCTGCCATGGAACCAGTTCAACGAAACCGCTATAGAGATTCTAACAGCGCAAACTGTGAGCGTTAATTTGATGACTAAGCCATCATTTCAAAACTAAGCTAATGTGCACTTCACAGGAACATATAGAGAAAAGTACATTTTTTGAAATTCCGTAACTATTTTGACCTATTTTGACTCTAATTTTTGATAGACGTGATTTTGAAGTTCGAAGTTTTTTTGGACTGTAGACTAGCTAATGGCCCTCACTGATTTAAAGTTCATCGAAAAGCATCACTTCCCTGTCGAGATTAGTGACGCAGAAGATAAAAATGTCGGATTTAGTAATGCATGCGATTTTCAGCAAAATGTGTTCTGTATTATGCCTTTGAAATTTTAATCATATATAAATTTCCGTTTAGAAGTGTTTATTTCCGTTTCCTTCACTAACAGATAGTGAATATTTGATCGTGCTGAACGTCCACGTTACTAGAAGGCAAGTAATATTCTTACTTGCCACTAGAGTCCTGTTATCATGACTTTTTCGTCACCATTTACCACAACAATGACAGCACTTATTTATCAAAGAATTGAAGCATTTTTCAAACAAGATACAGTATCTCGTATATCTCCTGATAAATCAAATCATAAACATGGTCATCAAATAAGGTTGAGATTAAATAATCTTTCTAATTTACATGTAGGTACTGAAAATATGATAAAAAGGTCTTCAGCTGCAACCTCTCATTATATACAATGAGTATTTGTTTATGTACCATCGAGTTTTTTTCTAATATTTATACGATATTTTTGAATTTCAGCAACGATTCGAGCTGAAACTGGTATTAACATTGATTATACAAGATTTACACGACATGTGCCTGATTATATAATGAAACCAAATCATGATTCCTGGGGTGTAAGTATTTTTGTGTCACCTAAAACTACGCTCGATATATAATTTTTTATCGTTTTTTTAGACATGTCTTTGTATGACCTGTTTGAATCCAGAATTAAAGACAGATAATTTACTTGGTATGAAACATAAATAACCATCAATTCAACATATAATAAGTTTAATATCTCCAGATTATACACCAAAGACAGGATTCTTCCCTCTCTCTTGATTAGGCATCATCAGATATAATCGAAACAGACAACCGAATCATAACACTATACATCAAGCTCAAGTCGAGGTTTCTTTTGCTCGAACTCAAACTATCCTCAGCAGTTTTTTCTACAGAATTGCTCGGGAGTGGAATACAATCCTACCTACGGCTGCAGTAAGCTCTCCCACTATGAAAGACTTCAAAACTCGTTTGTGCCAACACCTGCAAATATGGTTGAGGTAGTGTAAAGGTGGCAAAAGTTTTACCGGTGCTAAGCACTCTTTTTGCTTTCCTCGTAACATGGTTTTGTTCTCGTTTTCATGTTAACATTTTTTGTTGAAAGTTTTACTGTAACATCTCTTGAATTAATTGCCAAAATAAAAGAAAACAAACAAAATACGCGGTGACGTCTGCTTAATATCTGTTTCACATAAGCAACGTTGTAATAAACAAATGATTAAATGGAGCGACGTGACGAGAGTGCAACATAAGGGGCCACTTAAAGGGGTTCCACCATAAACATACCCTCAAATTTTGTGAGTTTGTGGAAAATACCTCCAAGGATCTGTGGTTGCAATAACTCGCGGGTTGGATAAGCTTAAGTGGAGTTATGAAACTTTCAAAATTATCAAAAGTCGATTTTCCCGACTATTTTGCGCCCAGTGCAAAAAGTATTTCTTGCGCAACACGCCTCAATGAAACATTCCAAAAGGATTCTGTTCATGGAAAGTTGTTCATTATATCCGTCTCTATGGGATAAGATATTGTGGTTTTATATTGGTGTCATTTCTGAATTGTAAGTCATGAGTCCCAATATGGAATTAGAACGAGCACAAATTTTATCGATATGAGTGGTCCATGAAAGATCATATGTTAACCACAATCCCAAATATTTAACTTTCTCAGATTCCACCAGTGTCGTAGAAACCAAAATCAGTGGCGGCAACAGAAGAGAGCGAGCACGATGATATTGGGCTGAGAAGGTAATAGCTTCGCACTTCGAAATATTAAGCGGAATGTACCAAGTATCTGCCCATTTTTGGACGCGAACAAGGTCTCTATTTATTGTATCTGTTGTAATT